ACTGAGGGTCCATGTCATGTCATCTGGGAGATGTCTTTTCCCACACAGGCACAAAAATGCGCACCATGTTACGCCAATTTAATTTCCCCGGCACAACGGTTCATATTACGTGATGCGCAAAAATTACTTCTTTTCAGATAACGGTTCTTCTGCTCAACTTGAGTCGGACATTGTTCACGTTGTCAACAAACGTTCACTTAACGCTGACATTCCCGGCCATCCCTTGCACAGTGCAACTCCATACCTACAGCGGAGGGATGCTGCCGGGGTTGTAATGGTGAGCAAACTGGACTTCTGATCCAGAGGTCACCGGTTCAACTTATCCCGTAGCGGCAGTTAAAACAATGCGAGTTTTATTCTTTCACTCTCCATCCAGCGGTATAAATGCAGTGAGTCAATGGGCAGGTCACGTGAGGTGGGGTAAAGTGTGGTTATCTCAACCCCTTCCAAGACGTCAGAGCTAGCGTGGATGAGCACGGTTGGCTACGTACGGTGCGAAAGAAGTGCAACACACACACGTACATGAGCAGGCCAAAATTCCCTCAAGAGGGGCTCTCTAGTAGTGGAGGACCTTCTGCCAACACGGGTATGAGCAAGGAATTGCATGGTTGCACCTTTTACTCCTACTAGAGTATATACGGTATTCAGTAGGAGGAGCTGTAGCCCAGAGGTTATAGAAGGAAGTTCAACTGCGAGCCAAGGCAAACATCGGTAGTGAGTGATCTCTGAAGTGGTCCCTGGCCCCTCCCCGTTCACTCCCCTGTACTGGGGAAGTATGGTCAATCAACCCCGATGGCCAACATGGGATGGGGAGGCCTTCATCCAGCAGTGGATTGGTAAATGGCTATACAATTATTATTACTCCACAGGTACATACATAACCCGAAATCGGAATAATTCCATCCATACTGGGACAAGCGTCAGCCTCCGTTATAAAGACCTATCAATCAAACCCATTAAATAAAACCTCCTCTTTGTTAAGCTCCAATCAGTAGATCTTGTTATCTACAAGGGCTTGCGGATTCATTATTCCTGTTACACTGTTGCCATACAGATAGGATGAGTGGTGAAATACTTAATTGCGGCAGTGATATACAGGCCGCCACGCTACAGCCTGCGACTCTTCATGCGGCGTCTGTGCTACGCTACGCGTCAAGTGTATGACACAGGGCACCACCACGCTTTTTTGTATTACTATTTAGCACTATTTTTATTTTTACCAGGTAAGGCCCACTGAGCTACGTAGCTATTTTTCAGAAGCCACCTGGTCACAAATGATAGCTCAACAAAGTGGCTCATCAGGTGAAAATGTATTGCAAATACTCTAAACGTGTTTCTAAATGTGGAGAGAAAAACTGGAGGACCTGGAGAAAAATCCACGCGACCACGGGGAGATACAACACGCAAACTCAAAATATACAGCAGGTGTCAGGGTAGTGATCTGACCCACGGCTTCCCGTATACCAGGCGAAGTAGTTAACATCTCGTATTATTCTTTTGTTTAACCAGGAAAGCCTCAAACAATTATCAAGACATTTTTTAGGAGGCTCCTGCCAAGTTTTCATGGTAGAGAAAGGATGTTAGTGTGCGTTGGCACAATGTCCGACGTTTCTCTCCCAGGAGGGGAACACGTGGATGAGAGAACAAATGAAAAACATTGGCAGATTGCATCGAAAACAAATTGATTATGGGTGTAATGATGCATCAATTCCTCGATTAAAATTAATTCTTACACTCAAGGCAAGTTCCTCAAATAGTGTGCTTGAGAATTAATTATTTACAGCTGATGCAAATTGTGCGCAAACTCTAATGTTGCTTTTGAGGTCAGTGCAGCAACTAACAATTGAAAAACAATACAAATGAGGTCGTAAAAATGAAGCAAACCGATTTTTGAACGGAACCGCAACCTCGAATCGTGACAAATCGCCAAGCCGCTGGGAGAGGTGATCGTTACGTTTCTACACCTCTTCTTTCTGACGGCACGGAGTTGATCGGCGATGTTTCTGTGTTTTTATCGAAGTTGGCGAGTGAGCAGGTGGACGACTTCAGGAATCAGCCTCACGGTGAACGTTTTGAAATGCTGCCGGCGAATGATCGCAGCGGGCCGTGGCGTCACCGCGTGCTCCGTGGTTTGAGATTGGTGACCCCAGTCGCGCTGTGGACTATTCTCGATTGTCCATCGGTGAAGGGGCACTCGTTCCCCTACTGTATTTCGCTTTCACACTCGGTGTTTCCCCACAGATAATAAGCTAAGCGCTAAGAACTTCCCCAGGTCCACAATAACGTGGAACGGAGGAAGTTCCAGCATGTCCCTGCGTGATCGCATGTCAACGACACCTGGATGTGAAGTGAACCCACAGTTGAAATAGTAAAAAAAAAATCTTAAAATCTCCACCCCTTTGGCAGAACGATGCCGTTCACACAGCTGACACTGCTCATCTTCTCCTCGCACGATCATTAATCGGGGCGGTGACGCGGCCTAGCGAAAGCTCGTTCGCCTCTTGCTGCAGAGGTCCGCAGTTCGAATCCGCGAGGCCGCCTGCTTAATAGCGCGGCTGCACTAACCACGCAACATGCGCCGCCGACTTCACGGTGGACGCTGGAATAAGATCTCCTGACGTCATTCGCAACGAGTCGGGTATTGCGTGCCGACATCATGGTCCAGATTTGCCCCAATCGAAGTGTTACACAACACGTTACTCAACGGGTGCATGTCGCGTTGCAACATCACCCCCCTACTGTGAAACTACTGCAGGCGATGCCTGTGAAACACAGCGGCACCTTCGCGATAGCCTTGCACGATAAGAACGATAGCGTCAATACCAACTCTAGTCAATTATAATGAATAATTATTATCTCACACGTCTCCTATGCATCTCTGAAACAGAGATGATGAGAAGGAATCCCTCTTCTTTCTTGTGTGTGTCCCTCACCTCACCTCCACCTTCCCATTTCACAATCTTCCCCGATGTCACCACCCCCCACGTAAAGCGTTTGGAGATGTGGTAGCATTAGTACGCTGTACAGATTGGCGTTGTTGTTGTTGTTGCTCTTCCTTGTGTATAGTATCACGCGTGCCATGCTTCACATCTCAAACATGCCGTGTGTGTGTGTGTAAGACACAATGAGGACATCAAGCTAGATAGCTCGTGGAACGCGCGCCAAAGTTAAACACCACTCAGGAATCATCTCTTAAACACAGAAGTAGCTCTGCACACACCGATTACAGCTACTCCACAGCGTTCGAGCCACAGCCAATTAAAGTGGAAATTGTGTGAAGGGCCTTTTAGTCTCAAGTATTCGTTCTGAAATCTCAAATCCTGAGAAGGATGCTTTTTCCCCTCCATATGAAGCTGGGTCACTAGTGGATACTAATAAATGTGAAAGCATCATTTGCCCAGTTTGAACCTACAATCCTGGGGCTTAATTTTTTGACGTAGCCGTCCATGGTTGAGCAGCACCAGAATATATTTCCCCACCTATCCACGCACCCACCAATGCTGGTGAGGTGGGGTGGGGGGGCGGGGGACAAGTTGGAGGTGTCCAGGGGGTTGGTTTTGAGGGTACTCCAGAAAATATTCCGCGGGCAATGAAACCCTGCTGAGCCCTAGCAAGGCCATACTTTGGCATTAATACTGAATCCGATATGCGAGCGAGCACACACACACATACAAATACACACATACATCAACAACCACAACCGCCATTCGCCACTAAGTGGTGGTGACGTCACCACGACGCTTGTGCCAGGCCATGTGCACCTTGAGGCCACGTGAAGTGTCGAACGCCCGCATACACACTCACACACACGTACCCATACTGCACACCACTCGCAATGCTGGATGGATTCACCACGTATAGGGAGGACATGTTCATCTTATAACACAGGTAAGCCACCTTTATGTCTGGAAAGCATAAATTAAAAATGTTCCGCTGTTGCGTACACGTTTATTGGGTCACGGGAGATTACACCAGATAGAGCAGTCCCCTGATTTCAACGTAAACAGGAGAAGTCATATCCACAACACTATTATCCGTGACTCCAATGCAGGTGTTCAAGTCAAAGGTCCAGACACAAGATGCTTCCGCCAAACACGAGTGTGTGAAGATGAATGCTTATGGACTTTGCTATTTTTATAACAAATACCCTTTCTTTATTTTGGTTGAATACATGTATTGCCAATTTTTTATTGTTTACATATACTGAACTCTGGGCTCTGTCAGTTGTGTAAAGCCAATGGACAATTGCACTTTGTTATCCACTTTTATGAATCAGCCATGAATTATCAATGACAATGGGAGATGTAAAACTTGTGCAAAAGCAAATAATCTAAAGTAATGATGTTGCATTAACCGGGAAACACAAAGCGGCCTTTACCGTAGCCGTTTCTCAGGTGGATATTCATGTGTTCATTGTAATGCGAGTTGAGGAAAATATTTAATTTGACAAAGTATTTTCCAAAAGAGGCCTACAGAGGTCACAGAGTTAAGGCAGCGGAAATAATTGCCCAGTTCAACAAAACAATCTTAAGCTATAAATGCACACGTATGAAGCAGCTGCTGGGAAAACATGAGCATGTTTGTAAAAAAAAAAAGCACAGAGAGTGATGGACAGTGTAACAATTCAGATCCAGTGATGGGAATCGCTCCCTGTGAGCCGCAAATCGCACGATTGGAGATGGATCTCAGTGACGTTTCCTGTCCCAAGTCGAAGAATACCATTTGGTGGTCCAGGTCTCCAGTGAAGAGGTATGAGTCATGATGAGGCACCGTCAGTTTATCCAAATCGGTTTATTAAGGAAAACACCAAACTAAATCTCCCACCTACTGTGGAACTGCGGCACAAAGCGCCTTCATGATAGCTAGCCTTGCACCATAAGAATGATGCCAATGCTAAATGTAATAATGATTAGATTCGGTTTTTTATCTTTGACTGGTTATATAGCCCCAGGACACAAACAAAACCATTTCTGGGAAGAGGAGTGGTTTCGGTTACTCACGTAATCGTGAAAGGCCTTGGCTTCACTCGAGTGGTCACACGTTTCGCGTCTCTCCGGGGCAGCACAGTACAGGTCCCAGAAAACACTGGGGAAGAGGGTGCCATGGTGGGGAGCACACAAACACACACGAGTCCGAATGGTAAAGGTGCAGTCCTGAAATTACTTTCTTGAATAAAGCTTGTGGAATTATACAGCTTTGATCAATGATAACAAAATACATTTTATTTCTGAAAACTGCAATATGCAACCGAAAGATCGTATCTCTGAGATCTAGATTTTCTCTCGCCAACTCGTGACCTGTCCCGCTAAGATGGGTCACTATCTCGACGTTTGGAACTATACTATGAGACCTCCTTTATCAGTGGCAAAATATAGTGATAGGTTTTTACCCTTTCAACTGGTACAAAAACTGACACCTTTATACAAGGCATCATGTTTGCAATAACCACAACACAAGCAGTCAAAATGCAAACATAAAGAAACAACTCTGATGATGATAATGATATGCACTGTCCTTGAAGTTGATTGGTCCACACCCGAGACAGCTTTTGGCGTCACCTGGTCCAACACCAATGGAGACTAGGCTCTAAGAAAAGCTGTCTCGGGTGTGGACCAATCAACTTCAAGGACAGTGCATATCATTATCAGAGTTGTTTCTTTATGTTTGCATTTTTACTACTTGTGTTGTGGTTATTGCAAACATGATGCCTTGTATAAAGGTGTCAGTTTTTGTACCAGTTGAAAGGGTAAAAACCTATTACTATGTTTGGAACTATGTTTGGGGCCTCGGATTCTTTCATTGGTTTGCTGAATCCCCGTGTGCTGACGGTGTTTTTGCTTCGTACACAATGGCTACAACTCTTTTTTTTTCGAGTTCAGGTTGGCATCGAGCTCTCGTGTCATGGGCTCCTATCGCAATACCTCTGCCCCTAAAGTGTAAACACCGGAAGAGTTGTCCCATAACACCTTAATATATGGAGAACTGCAGAGCTTGGGCAATTGTTGGCACCGGTTCACCGCGTGGCCACTGCCGTCTTCACCGCTTCGATGCGGTTCCTTCCCACGCCTCAGCGTCATTCTCTCTCTCAAAAGCGAGTGAATCCCGCGCAGCGGCGTGTTACACATTTAAATTATTATATTATCAGCGTTGTGTCTGAGGACCACTTCCCGTGAGTCAAAGTTTCAGGGTCAGGAACAAATTGAAAAAAAAAAGGCTATATCAGAGCGTGACCAAAATGTTGGACATCATGAATCCGTGTTCCAAACACCTGAGGGACTAACATCGGCTGAAATAAGGAAGGATTCAATTTGTGAGCTCGTCTTACGGGCTTCTGAGATGTGTGTGAAATCTACCTCTGAGGGAAACACAGTTTACCGTGCGTCAACCGGGTGCTGCTCTGAGGTAAACAACTTGAGTTGACCTCTGAGGTCCATGAGGGAGGTTAGATACCGTGAACGCCCATCCACGGACGAGGACTGACTTACGTTCCATTCTCCCAAAGTATTTCATCGTCATTTTGAATCACAGTCGCTGAGCACAGGGTCCAAATGCCCAAGTGTCATGCGGGCAGCAAAATAGAATCATAATCTTTTATTCATCCTCCAGGAGGAATCCGAAGAGCCATGAAGCTCTTTTTCACAGATGTCCAGTCGGGGCGGGTCATGAAGCTACAACAACAAAGACTACAAAAACCAATACGAGAGCAAAGTAGAGGAAAGGTAAGCAAGTTACTAAAATAAATAACACACAGAAATACAAATTGCATAATTACAGCAATTCCTGACGATTTTTCAACACTCTTATCAAAGTTGTCATAGAAAAGAGTGAAGACGTTGATTAGGTTGAACCAGCTGGTAGGAGGTTGGAGAAAAGAGGCAACGAGACGGAGTTTCAAAGTGAGGCGGTGTGAGGGAAGTAGCAGGCAGAGAAAAGTTGCAGTGTGGTGTGTGGGTGAGTGTGGGTGAGTGTTGGTGAGTGTTGGTGAGTGTTGTGAGTGAGTGTGGTGAGTGGATGAGTGTAGTGAGTGAGTGTGGTGTGTGCGTGAGTGTGGGTGAGTGTAGTAGTGAGTGAGTGTGGTGAGAGGGTGAGTGTAGTGAGTGGGTGAGCGGGTGAGTACGGTGAGTCTGTTGTTGTGACCTGCAGTGTAGTGTGTGGGTGAGTGTGGTGAGTGAGTGTGGTGAGTGAGTGTGGTGAGTGGGTGAGTGTGTGAATGAGTGAGTGAGTGTGGTGAGTGTGTGAATGAGTCAGTGTGGTTAGTGTGGCGAGTGTGTGAATGAGTGAGTGTGGTTAGTGTGGCAAGTGTGTGAATGAGTGAGTGTGGTGAGTGTGGCGAGTGTGGGTGAGTGTGGGTGAGTGTGGTGAGTGAGTGAGTGTGGTTAGTGTGGCGAGTGTGTGAATGAGTGAGTGTGGTTAGTGTGGCAAGTGTGTGAATGAGTGAGTGTGGTGAGTGTGGCGAGTGTGGGTGAGTGTGGGTGAGTGTGGTGAGTGAGTGAGTGTGGGTGAGTGTGGAGAGTGTGGTGAGTGTGTGAGATGAGATGAAACAGTGAGTGTGACAGAGAGCGTGTGCATCATCACCACGTGTGGAAGTCTCGGCTAAGACACCGTCCAGAGGGCGCTCTCCAGAACTGCCTCTCATAGTGGACGCGCTTCCGACGGCAGTGGCGTGATCCAGCTATTGCAGGGCTGCACCTTTACCAAAAAAACTTTAAATCTAATGTAGCAAATCCACCTCACGGGGTCCATGATTATTGAAAAAACGAGTTTAAAAGTGTCATTAATCTCCACACTGCACTACGAACTCGGAGACCTGAGTTCAATTCCCGGCCGTGGCTAACATCAGTGGCGAGTGTTAATTGAACCGATCTTGGGGACCCAGCTTCGCAAACCCGCACTGGCCGACGTGACGACGCGTGGAGAGGTTTATTTTATTTTTTTGAAGGAGGCATACATTGTTAGCCATGCTCTCGATTTTCCAAACAACTTCGAACAAACCGCACTTTATTCGAACAAAGGAGCCGAATGTGAAACCTGGTAATAGACAGCAATACTTTCAGATAAGCGGATTACAGCTAAGAGCTGGACTGCATGTTACATTGTGTCCCTGCCTACACACTTTGGTCAGTTGATGGAGATTCTCATAAGCTGGAAACGATGTTAGCTTTGAAAAAAATCTCCACTTCAGCAAAGCAAATACTATTTTAGGCCCGATCTATCTTCCAGCAGCATCATTCCAGTTATTGTATTTTGCCTGTCTGCAGCCGTGCGAGCCCGCAAGGTGGTGTCGAGCTTAATACGAGAAGCCTCCCCATCGGCAATAAATCAAGAACTTCTTATGACGCTGTCTGGTAACAGCGGTGGTCACTTACCACCACCATGAGTGCAGGAAGCCAGGAGGCTCCCCCAGAGTTATATTTTTTTCCCACCGTATCTGCACACACACACAAATAAGCACAGGCACGCACACAGCGTTACAGTAAAGCAGAGTTCATAACAGCGTCCGGCTGTAGGGCACACCCAGGCTCTGCGCGTATCAACTAGGAATGAGTTTTGGACGCAAACGTTTCGGATTTTGGATTTGTTTTGATTTTCAGATAGTTTACGTTACCGTATTTTGGCGAGTGCACGCGCATAAATGTATTAACGTCTCCCCCGACCCCATGTTGACACCATTATTGGCAGGAACGTGCGGACGCGGTGTCACTTTAGCGGCAGTTTGCGTAGAACAATAAAAATAATTAAATGGAACCATCCTGAAATTTCATATCTAAAGCATCAGAATTTTCGGATTCATCTGAAAATCGGCAGCTCATCCCTGAGTATCGACACTGCAGAACGTCAGCAAACAGACGGGCGCATAGCAACGTGGAACATCGGGGTATGTAATATCATCTGGGTATATAATGCCATTAGGGAATGAAGCAGTGAATCACCGAAAATGAACACACACAACAGTACATAATTGGACATCGGGGTACAAAACAGCACATTTTTGAATTGCTAGTTCATAAAACAATATTAGGGAACGTATAGGCACATCACGTAATGGGGAGCATAAGAGTGCATCGTTAAACGCCGGAGTACTTAATAGTGGATACTGGAACAACAGGCTGCAAAATAACAATGGTTTAAATGTACGTAACAGCATAAAGGGCCAGATAAGATACCGGTACCCGAATACACAGACACAAGGATTTATATTATCACAATCGTAAGGGTGCATAATAGCGCAGCACATGCAGTGTACACATAATATTAAGGATTTTGATAAATAAATAAAACAAATCCGGACCGCCAAGGTGCATATAATGGTGCATATAATGGCAGACGCCACTAAAACACGATGACCAATTATTTCAAGAAGACTTATTTCGTTTCTTCTGACGTCTCCTATGACACCACGTGCCACCACAGCGAAGGCCACAGCACACCCCCTCACACCGGGGCCCGTGGCCATGCTCTCGCCTTAGCGTGGTTGCAACGCGCTGGAGCAATCCGCGGTTCAAACCCAAAGGGCCGCCCTGGTTAACACTGCAGGTGTATTAACTGTAAAATGCGCGCCGTTGTCTGCTTTAAAATTCTACAGGCTAATGTTTACTAATTTGGGGAACCAAAAATTTGGTGCCAATTGTTTTTCACACTTAAAAATGTTTTAACACAGGCCTACGAAAATTTGTATCTGAAGGTTTTGAGTGGTGATGAATACATACATATCACATAGTTTCGACAAATCAGGCCCTTTTTGGGAAGAGATACAAATGTAGATATGTGAGTGGGGCGCAGTTCAGCTATGAAGGGATCCAATCATGACGGCTCGTGTCGTGACCCGAATTAGATTCCAAACTGATGGGATCAGACACAGAATTCCCAAAATCCCATCACTTGGCAGGCAGTAAAATCCAATCCGAATCGGGTTATTGGTATCCAATTTTACGAACTGCGCAATGACATATTATGCCACTGTACTAAGTAATTAACAAAAGAACAAAAACATAATTTGTTATTTTATTCAACTCGTAAAAAGTTCAGTTTAGGTGTAAACATACATTAATTTGTACAGGAAAACCTTGTCAAATGTGTGTTTCGGCTCTTCACGGTTTACCGAATGAGGCATGCTTTTCGGAACACGGCGGTGATTTTTGGGCTATACGCGGTTCGACGTTGCTAACATTGTTGCTAAGATTGTTGTTCGAGAGGGTTGCAAGAAGTGAGAGCGCTGCATCCGTTGGAAGGTACCCTGCGTGTGAATGAACCGTGTGGATTTGAATCGATTGCGAGAACCATTTATTTACCAAGTGCACGTTTTTTTTTGCGTGACAATGTAACACGTACAGTACCGCACTATACACGCTCACAGGTTCACACACATCGCTGCGTGCATCTTAGCCGCCTGCCCGGTGAGGACGTCAGTCAGACGGCGCCTCATTAACGTTCAAGTGACAGCGCTATGGGCGAGCATCAGGCTGCCAATGTATGCAATAAAGAATTTCCCAAAAAGACGAACTGCAGTGCAGCATAGCCCCGGTGAGATGCCTGCTGCTGCTGCTGAGTACAAAGGTCGCGAGTTGAACTATCCCACACACGACACCGACTGCACACACGAGAGGTACTGGAGGCTATTTTTAACATATACAGTGCTGCTAATACTGAGGAACGAACGATGTTTCTCAATGTTTTGTTAGGTCTATAGTAACCACTGCCATCATCATTATCATCATCAGACAAGATCTATTCCTAGCTGGAGGAAGCCATAATCCATTCCAGACCCCATTTACAGTAATACCGTAACCATAACTTGAGTACTTTATGGATTTATTTAAATTAAAATAAAAAATATATGATTATCCATACTCTTAGGTTTTTTCGGTAAAGTCACGTAGGTAAAAAATAAAAATAAAAATTACTAAAAGTAATAATAGTAATAAAATAAAATAATAAATCACGACGTTTCGGAGGCAACACAAGTCTCCGTCATCAGCTGTGACGGTCCCACCTGATGATGGAGACTTACGTGACTTTACCAAAAAAACCTAAGAGTATGAATCCTTGCAGTCACGAAAGCTTCAAATCTAGAAATAAGATTATCCAATTGGCTGATCAAGACTCTGCCCAATCAGCTGATTAGGAACATGACGGGATGTTGACCAAATCTCATTCCAATCTATGCACGACATTTGCGATTAGCTGACATCCTATATTTTTGTTCACGCAAAACTCACGATCCAATTCCAGTTGCAGCTGATGGTGCCCGCAAGGTGACAGAGAGAGAAGAGAACCGTGGCCAGCAGTGGCGAGGTCACAAATATCACAAGCGGGGGTGAAGAACCGTTCTTAAATTGCAAAAAACAAAATCAGCCACAGTTTTTACGTAAAAAAAAGCTATAATTCCACTGAATTACTCTGAAAAACTTGTATTAATTGGTACCGGGTGTTGGTTTTGTGTTGTGCTGTTGTGAGTTTGACAAATGGCAAAAAAACTCTTAAAAGGGAAAAAAAGTGAAAACTCAAGATGTGTGCCCAGACTTTCAGAAGTCACTTTTCTCTGTCCACCAGCAGCACCGTAAGCTGCACGGACTCATCCTGCACAGAAGTTAAGCAGCCAATGAGATCCGCTCCTGGGTAAGAACGCTGTGCAGGCCTGCACGCCATTTTGAGAATCACCTCTAAATCACTGCTAAACAGTGCACGTTGCCTAGCAACAACATTCCCAGGAGCCTTTGGCCAGCGTGCAAAAAATTGAGTTAGGCTAATGTTGTTAGCTGTCCATCATTTTTCTCAGAATCCATCGCAAAAAGATAATCAGCATTTGGCAAGATGCTTTATTACGTTTGTGTCAATTTTCTATGCCGGTTAAGCTGTTGGTATTCTCGGACCTATTTTCCACAGTGACATTTGGTGGAAGCAATGCAGAGAGACTCTTTTTTTTTACTCACCGTCACCTTGAAACACTTTCAATGTGCCGCTGTCTAGTGGCTGCTTGTTACGACACAGATTTTTCAACTTTTCTCTCAGAAAGAAAAATACGTCACCAAGTGGAAAGTGATCAAAGTGTAAATCTCAAACGTATCGTTTGCGAGAAGAACGGGGGGACAACCTATGACATGCCGTTATTTTAACTACAAAATTCTGACATTAACCCGACAATGCATAGCCCAAAGCGTTGACCGGTATTTGACCGAGGCAGAGCTGAAGTAGAGAATCAGCGTCCGAGTTTGATTGAAAAACCACTATATTTTTAAGTTGCGGGTAGTTTTTTCCAACGCGTCGTTGAGAACTTGACACTGCCACGTGCGCAGAGACACCGGCTTGGAATTGCACCGAGAGACAGAAAAATGATCGAGCGTGGGTCAGGGACCAAACACGAGTTAGAAACACCTTATTGAACTTGAAGAAAAGTGAGAGTTGGCCTTGGGCAGGACACATCGCCCAAAGGGACTGGAGAGAATGAGTCTCAAGAGGACAACCGCCACGGGGAACCAAGCAGTGATCGGGTTGAGTTCAAGTGCAGGAGTGGGATGAGCGGGAGCAGCGAAGGACCACGAGGGATTGCGATGGTGTGGAGGGGCCTTCATCCAGTGGTAAATAGCTGATGGCCATGATTCTGATGATAGAGACACAATGGCCTGCTGTTGAGAGCAAATGTCTGGATTTTACTTCCCATTTTAAAACAAACATTGTACCCTACAGAGGTCTCTGGGTAGCAGTGAGCTCAGCGTGATTGGGAAACTGCCTACCAAGCCATCACGCCATCACACTCCCACTGAGGCATGTACACAGGGGAAGGTAAACGTGCAGCCCTGCAATTGCTTGCTCACACCATTGCCAGGTGGAAGGGTCTCCACCCGATGGAGCTCTAGAGAGAGAAAGAGAGAGCCTGTCTCGAGGAAATCTTGACCTTGTCTTCCATGCCGTCTCAATGTCTTGGAAGATGTGGGGGGTACCCACACTTTAGCCCATCACACGACCTGCCGACGAACTGCGCTGTATCCATTTGTACTTCCGGGTGGACGTAAGTGCTGAGTGGGTCGGCGGGGAGATTGAACAAAAAGGTCCAATTGTTTCAACAGCCGTCAGTCGTGATGAGGACACTTTCTGCGGGCGTTTGTGTGCGCACCTGTTCACAACCTACAGCGCGGGTGACTGCACTGCAGCGTGAGCCGCACACGTCGCTTGCTTCGCTTCGAAGCTCACGGGCTCGCTTGCGCGTGGCGTGTTCCCTCGCACCCTTGGAATAAAACGTGGATTTACGTGGCTCTCTGAACGCAGCCGCATCTCACGATGCCCAACAGCGTGAACTGGATATTCGTCGCGTACCTAAGACATTTAACTGCGTCGCAAACGCGTACGCGTGTGCTATTTAACGCCATTATAGACACTGCAGAGTAGGTGGATGTTATTCTGCTCGTAAGTATAATTTACAATAACAGCGCTGAATGGCGATTGCGGTTGCAACACTGCAAAGCACGAATCTAAAGATGTTAGTTGTGTCTGGCCATTTGCAACCCCTCCGAGCATAGCATAGGATTCTTCCAGCTGTCCTGCATGCTGTAGTATTATTTTATCGACTTATAAGCATCACGTACTGGCCAGTTGAGGGAAGTATGGTCAAACAACCCCAACAACTGACAAAGGGGAGGCCTTCTGCTGTGAGCTAAGAATCACGTGCACCATGAACACTGGCCAGGCTTTAGCGATTGTGTTGCGTAGTTCTCCGATTAGTTTTTCGTGTTGTTCGGCGTGATGTCTGACATTTCACTCCATCTGAGTGTGGGGTGCGAAAAAAACGTCCCACACCGTGCCATTCAACACAAAAAACTAATCGGAGGGCTGTACCACACAACTGCAACGATGACAACAACAGCCGCCATTCATCACCAAGTGACGGTGACATCACCACAGCGCTCGTGCCAGGCCAGGTGCACTTTGAGGCCACGTGAAGTGTCGAAGGCTCGCTGCTGGCAGGTCACGGCGGGACAGACCCAGGTGGTGCCGTGGGTTGACCGAGATGACTGGCAGATGCACCACCCGTGCTGCCTACCGCGCCGTACACAACCGCCACTCGCTCCTCTTGCCGGCGGCACCTCTGGAGGAAGGAAGGGTCTCTGTGACCAGGCTACTCCTGTGTCCAGTCGCTCTGCCCACTAGAGGCAGCTGCTTAGATGTCCACCCATAGTCTTGTACAGGGACATGAGTGTCCAGGTCCACAAGGCGTACAGCCGTTTCAATGCGAGCAACAGAAACATCACAAGTGGCAAATAACAAAAGTCGTGGGACAGATTTTTGTTTATTCTGCAGAGTAGCAGATTGGGATGTACATGGATGATAGTATATTATTCAACCCTTCATAATTTTTCGTGTTTATTGTTGTATATTTACAACGTGAGTGTGTGCATCCACATATCAAGCAAGCAGCAGTATCAGCATGCAAGATCACAGACGATAGCATAAGTAGCATCATTGGCAGCAACTATCAAAATTAATACGTAAAACAGTTTTTGTTTAGTAACATAATTTTGTGTCTATTTGTTTGTGTTTCTCCCTTGTGATGGGACTTTGTAGGATGAACGTTGGGATTTATAAGGGGCACGGGGTGACCAATACGGTCTGAATTGGTCTGTAATAAGGTAGGGCACTGATTAGGGGCTGAGAGGTATGCATCTGCCACGATGACTCTTGAGCCCGACTGCTCGCTCGGCTCTCGCAGCCACCCTTAATCCACGCTCCACGACCGTGGCCACACTTGGCCCGAGCTGTGGCGCACGGCCGGTGCTTGAAAGAGCGCCAGCTTCCGCTCGAGCAGAGCGTGCCAACGAGACGCTTGTGGGTCTCCCACGGGCCAGCTTGCGCCCGAGAGCTTACTTAGAGTCGCGTAACATACAGAAGCAGTTTTCAACGCAATCGCAGCCTTTTCCCATTACAATTAGGCTTCTAATTGAGAATGCAAATGTTTCCAATCAACAAAAGGCAATTGGCTCCGTTGGAATAGCATGAGAATCTGGCTCTTCATCTCGCCTGCTCTATCTCTGTTCCCAACTCCGAGTTCGCTGCACGGTGGAGTCTTGTGTCCAGAAAAAAAAATTCTGTGACAACAACAAAACACTTCTTTACATTTGAAGCTAGTTTAAATCCTACAAATGAATCAACATCACTTACTACTTTTCACCAACTTATTTAAACTCCAATCACCGAATTTTCCGTATTATGACGCACTTTTCCCCCAGTACTGTAATGCGAAAGATGGGAATGCATCTCATAATCCGGTAGGTACGCGCGCGCGTGTGTGTGTGTGCAAGACCAGATTTGTGCAGCATTATTGAAACCGGGCACATGTCTGGGGTGCGTCTTTCATTTTAGAGCTTTTTTTTATAACCCAGAGGATACGGTGTACTGTTATTAAGAGTTACCTCAACTCAGAAATCTGGAATGGACCACGATATGAAAGAGAACAAAATCAAACAACTCCAACAGCCTGAGCAGGATTTTCAAGATTCGGCTCATGGAGTTGCTCTTCCCATTTCATTCGTGTTCTGCATCGTGACTGTGCCTCCCTTCCTGGGTGATTGCAGGTCTGTTTGGCTTTTCTTTGAAGAGCCCCACATCGTTGCTGCTCCCATCTACAGCGGTGACACGGCCCAGCCAACTGTGCTCGCCCCGCCTGCTCCACCCAGACAACATGCCCCAGTGTGCCCGTGCCGTCTGCTCCACCCCGTCACGCCGCTTGTACACATCAAATGTATTCTGGCCATAATAGTGACCCAAAATGGCCTGCTCCTTGCAATTATGTCTTGGGGTCTTAAATGTTCGTTTTGCGATAAACAAAATGTCTTGGTAATTCTCTGAAGAATTTACCAGGCAGCTGCAGGAGAAGAAAAGCCATCAGAAATCTACGCAAGCCGTCCCAACGGAGAGTTTGCCGACGCAAGGCGTTTCTCGTGTGACTCACCTCAGACAGAAACGTTTGTGCCGACTTCTGAGCGCCAACGTGAAGCAAGTACTCGTACACGTACAAAGCAAGCCTGCACACGTGCGCACACACAAACATGTACAGAGGTCAAGCAGAAATCAAAGACAAAGATCCCCCATAAAGCGTTAACACACTGCTCGGGAAACTGCTGCTAGTGGTCTCCATGGGGATTTTGCTATATTTTCCAGAAGGTTAGACGTACACCCGATGTGAATGGAGGTGAACAAATCTGGTCTCTCGCACACACACACAAAATTACAAGATGTGCCTGGAAAATATGGTATTTGACCATACTTCACCACGCTGTTCAGTGTAGGTTGATGATGGCGATCATTACAAAGTTGGATTTTGTGTCGCACTGCCCTCCTGGTGTACACCACGTGCTCGTGCATGCTGATCGCCATCGCTACCTGATTTGGTCATGGGATATTTTTATTTATGGCTTTGGACATCACGTAAATTGGATGGATGCCTCTACACCTGCATGTTTATCCAACTGTCCCATTTTTACACGGAGTGCCACATCAGCCAAAAGTGACAACCCATCACGAATTTTTATATCGAATATGTATATTTTATGTAAAGAAAGCATGGCCAAACAAACAGCACAAAGTTTAAAAGAAGCACGTTCAATTATCAGTGCCAAAACATAGTCCTGACAGGAAGCCACAAAGCACTGTGATGATGCTCTGAATAATGTGGGAGAAAAGGAACATCTCACTTTTACCTCACTTGCAGAGAATTGCGAGTGAGATTAAGGCCGCCACTAAACACATCCTATATTATCTGTAACATCCACGACAGAATGTCCGTGGAGCCGCAGTTCCAGCCACCGCTGAAAGTTTTCTACCGCACGGTGAAAGACGGTGGAAATTGATGCGCGTCAATTCACAATCGCGACCAGAGATGAAGGGTGCCGGCGTGGTCCCGTCCCTCGAGTCCTTTAAGGGACCATGGCCTCGTGGTACTGGGGTGTGACATACAAGGAGGGGCTGGCTGGCTGGCTGCCTAGCCTTGCAAAGAAGTAGTTGTGGGGAGGATTTATTGAAAAAAAACTTGTTTTTGGCTCACATCCCTTGCGGACAAACACAAGGGAGATGAGGTGAGGGGCCATCGGATGCCTAAGCACAACAGCTACCCAAGCATAGGTTAGCTATTCATCACACGGCGCAGCTGAAAACACAGGGCGCATAAGGCTCCTCCGCTCTAGATCCTGTGGAACGATTGCCCCTCCAATTCCCCCTCTCTCTCGGTGGAAGAGACGAGAGCCAGAGGCATACGCTGGCAGCAATTAAAATATAAGCGCGCTTTAAGAGCAGCTTTCTGCTGACATCTGAACCGGTCCTCGACCCCCCACGATCCCCCGCCTCGTTGCCAGTCAGCATTGACAAGCACGGTCAAGCAACCCGCGTGACCAACACGCTGTGGGAAGGAAGCCTTCACGAAGCAGTGGAGTGACAATGGGCTGTCAACACAATGCAGGGAACGCTTTGGTATTGAGAGAACGTGGCTGGGTCGCCACCTCGAAGGTACACAAAACTGGGACAGAGGAAGAAGAGTATCTCATAATTCTAGATTTGAAGCTTTCGTGACTGCAAGGATTCATATTCTTAGGTTTTTCGGTAAAGTCACGTAGGTAAAAAATTAAAATTAAAATTAATAAAATAAAAATAAAATAAAAATCACGAAGTTTCGGAGGCAACACAAGCTTCCATCTTCAGGTGGAATCGTCACAGCACGCTTGCTGTATCAAGTACTGTATCAAGTACAGCAAGCGTGCTGTGACAGTTCCTCCTGAAGACGGAAGCTTGTGTTGCCTCCGAAACGTCGTGATTTTTATTTTATTTTTATTTTATTTTACTTTTATTAATTTTAATTTTTTACCTACGTGACTTTACCGAAAAAACTTAAGAATAAGTATCTCATAATACTGGGAGAGTGGAGAACTTAATGTGTATGCTTTGTCTCGAGTGGTGGCTTATTATCATTATCCAAATGGCAAAAAGCAGGACTTAATATTAACCGGGGAGACTTATGGATTCCCCAGCACAAGCACGTAAAAAACGAGAACGTCCTGGGAAGATCAGGTCAGGTGATAACCCTAACTTCACCATGGGCCCTGAAACCATCAGGGCAGTGTAAGTTGTGGAACACAGTGGTCACTTCATTCACGGCTGGGGTTGTGCTGCCACTAATTAAACGTCTCTTCTCCATCATCATCATCATCATCCAATTTTCGGATTTATTTTGGACAATGCAATGGTAGGTAAATAATTTCTACTCAGGGCCACGGATGGGCTAGTGCCACCACCGCGAATTCCTTTCGATGCGCCACTGCGTGTGACCAACTCCCTTCGCTCTTCAAAGATGTTCCTCTGAAAAAAAAATTACATCCACAATGCAATTTTTACTGTGCTGCCATCTGCTGAGAGTTTTAATAATGTCCACCCATGTTTGCATCGTTTATAGTTGACTCATATCAGAATGCTGTACCCCACTCATTAGACTGAAACTCATTTATTGCACCGGCTTGCAATGTTGTTAGGAGATTTAAGTTCTGCAGGTCAATGCTTAAACAGCTCCTTCCAGGCTACAGCAATGATTTTGTGACAAGACCATGGTGACAATACATCTATGGAGGTTTGTTTTTAATAAATGTAAGAGGCGGATGGGTGGCTCGGAAATCAGCGTGTTGTGCTGCACCGTTGAGATTCTGGGTTTACATCAGAGCAGCTGCCCGTAATTAAATCGGCTTCTCAAGTGTAGTGAGTTGATGGTCTTAGCATGGTCACCAATGACTGCACCAAAAAAAACATTGCAATTAATTTGAATCTGTACTTAAGTTGGCTAAAGCCCAGGGCTGAGAATTAAAATCTTGGTTCGAATGTCACGAGACACAAATTACTCTCATGTGCGGAACAGGTGAGAAGGTGCTGATCTCTACTTTGTGGACCGGAGATCACTTGAAGGCATCTGAGAGGTAGCTCTGTAATATCCGCTTCCACGGGCTGTTCTCTAACAAGGGGTACACTACTTCACGATTAGCTCCAAATGGATTCTCCATCTCATGACGCGATGCCGATAGCACAATCGGGATATAATTACGGGGAAATTACAAGGAAATATGAAATATATATTTAATGTGAGCTATACTTCGATACAAAATGGTGATTTAACAATTCAGTAGAGAACTGTACTTCACAACGATTGTGCAACAATTGCTGAGATCAGGTTCCAGTTCATCTGAATACAATTTGCGTGATGGACTCGCGTTAAAGTGGACAAAAAGAATCCGCATGGTATCTCATTTCCTCATTTTTTGCCCCCAAAGATATTTATGTCTTCCACGTTTCATGTTTTCACATTCCTCATTTCCCATTGTGTGCTGCGAATACCCTTATACAGTAAACACGGTACCGCATAAGGCCATCACATCTTGTGGTGGTCCACTCCCCGTTCCTTCTGAATCACCAGTATCGTTTAACGGGTTCGAGAGCCGATGACAGGTTTGCAAAGCTACTGTGTTGTCTTCCTTTGTACGGAGAACATAGGAAACTGGTATGAACATTATACTGGAGTACGATACATATTTTGGATGCTGCCATGGTATAATGGTTGACACACTGGACTCCCAGAGGTTCATGGTTCAATCTCTCAGCTCGGCAGCTGAGACGGTGCAAGATTCTTGAAATCTCTGCCCACCTGTTCACCCAGCAGTATAAATGAGTACACGGCATTTAGTCCATCGGCAGGTTGTGTGCTGTGGGCTAAAGTGCGGGAACTCCAAACCGCCTCCAAGACGTCTAGGCAAGCGTGGAATAGTAGGCCAAACACCTTCTACAGGGGCTCCCTCTATTGGAGGCCTTTCCACAAGTGTTGTGGTGTAGCGGTGTAGTGTAGCGGTGTAATGTGGAGGTGCGTCATCATAAATCATCGTCATCAATCACCTTCATATTTTAAAACAGCTGTAAAAAAAATCTTAGGTTAAAAGTAGGGGTGATAGTTGAACGACCGCTGAGATTTTAATCCGATTGAAGCTGCAAGCACATTCGTTGGTCGTTGGTCTCAAGATCTGACGGAATTAATGCTCCACATAAACGTGTCCATCATCGTCGTCATCGTGATCTCAGCTGCTGCTGCCGATCCACCACTACTGGATGAAGGCCCTCCTCACACCGCCAACACCCCTCACTGCCCTGCGATGCCAAAAACCACTTCTCGTCCCTGCGCTCGGACTCATCTCATCGCGCCACGCTCAGCAACGGTTGTCGTCCACTCAGGCGCATGAGAATAATAATAATTAAAATGTATAAAGCGCCCCTAAACAATCGTTCTCAGGGCGCCATGCGTGGAAATGCAGAAGTAGTCTAACATCAATCAAGGAAAGAAGAAGTGAGAAAGACGTTTGAAAATAACTAAAGAGAGAAAACCATTTTAAACAGAGACGTTTTTAGTCCCTCCTTTTGCTGCCATTCCATTGCCAGTCTCATGCACGTGCTTGCACCGCAGCGGGCCATCGAGCACCACATAGCAAGCAAGGGTTGGGAGACGATCGCGACGAAGGGCTCTGAACCCTCCCAAACACAAGGTCGAGCGGACAGCAGTTGGGGAAGTAGTTCCACAGGCAGTTCTGTTTGCGGACTTTTCACTGTTATTGCCTCGTTATGCGTGGGCCTTTATGAGGTAGTTTCGTTTCCTTTCGCATTTAAAACACTGCTTGAAATGAATGGGCAAAAGAAATCCAATTCAGGAGCCTCTTGAAAAGGCATCTTAAGACTCGGATAAGCTCTCCTGACTAAATATGTCACATCACGATCATCATAATTATCAGCACAGGCAGCATGGTGTCGTCATTAGCAGCAATAGCATGATGAACATGTTGCCATCATCATCCTGTTACCTGCAGGGGAACTCACAAATACTACTCAGACATCACACAAACATTTGCAAAAGGCACAGAGCCGTTGTGCAAATGCAGAACAATCAGCATTTCCCGAAGAAGTGCATTATGGTTGTCTAGTCTTAAGATCACCATCAACATAAAGACCACAA